ATCAAAATTCCGGGAATTGTCAGCGCTCAGGCGCATTGCCCCGGAATTATTTTGATTAAGTAGCCGGGCCAAATCGATATATCAACGCGTTTTGCACGCGACACTCCAACGACGACAATGACTCGGAACACTACTCGCCTTTCCCCTTGGTGAAGTTTCTCTCTCTCTGTGTTTTGGGTTCCGAATCCGAATCCGTTTCCCAATCCAAGTTCCCGACCAGAAACCAACCTCAATTCCATTGCAGATGTACCCCCACAGAAAACCCCGAAAACGACAATGACAAACGTAGGCGACATTTACGCACTTGTGCAGTTGTATCTGTGGGGTGTACACTGCTAGAAATTGTAAAGAAACTTTATATAATTAAATCAGTTATTTAAAAAATATTAGTTATAATCAAGAAATGCTAAAGGAGAGTATAAAAACGCGTAGAAAATATGGGTTGTTAGAGGTTTTCGTGTCTACCGACTTAGTCCTTTGTAAAATGCCAGAACCAGTTGGAAATTTTAGAGTCTTGCAGATGGAATCTTAGAAATTAATAAGGTCTTTCTTCTCAAGGTTGGCAACAGTAAAAAATTTAGGTTTCTTTAGACTTTTAGGCCATTTTAGTCGATAAATCTACCTATAAGTCCAGTTTTTTATAAAAATAATATATGTTTTTCCACACAAAACTAAAACCAGTTGAGAATTTTAAAGTCATAAAGTTGGAAATCTTAAATATCATACAGATTTCATAACATTATAAAAATATGTTTTTCCTTTCAAAGGTCCTTTACAATTATTCGTTAAATTCTTTCTTATCTAGTCTTTCCCTCTGTGCATTGCCGAAAGTATCTGAGTATCTGCGGCCGTGTATCTGTATCTTTTGATTTATAACCGAGTGAGGAGAGAACATAACCGCGCACTTTAATATGAATCATTTGACATATTTCGGATGTTGCCTTTGTTTTTAACCGTCTCACATTTTTGATTTATCGCTCCCCCTCTCCTCCATTCCGTTCATTATTGCTTCCTGGCTTCATTAACAAGAAGAACAAAACGAAAAGAAGTAGAGGATAAAGAAGAGGAAGGAGCAGAGGCGACAAAAATTAGTAAGAAAATTTATTGCATGTGTGTTATCTTCGTTTCACTCCAAGCTGCATTCAAATGTATTTTTCCCTGTGAGTCAGAAAATTGTTGGATTTTCCCCAAGAAAGATATACAAAATTAAGGCATTTCCAGAGTATTAGGGTAATATAACGGTCTAGGAAACTGTATTTAATAGAATTATCTGCATTTTAGTCAGTGAATCGTTATTTTCGGTTCCTTTTTAAAGAGGATCCCTCTGATGATGATATTCCTCCATCAATTTGGTAAATTGTGTCTGCGAAACCGAGTTGTCATCGCTTTTTTGGGCTTGTATACGCCATATCTTTGTATCTCTCGGATAACGAGAGCCACAAACCTGGCTAAAAACAAAAGCAAATTTGCATATGCCAAAAAAACCGAAAACAGAAAACAAAAAAAGGGAAACGAAACGAAAGGAAAGGAAAGGAAATGAAAGAAATTGACTGTCGAGCGGAAAGTTAATGCAACTAATGACAAAAACGCCGTCACCTGAAATCCGGGGAATAAATCGAGGAACTAAAGGGAACTGGATACCGATACAACACTGGCTGGGCACTTTGGCACTTGATTCATTCGGTGACACTCACTCAATTTCTTGCTGATAAACAAATTGAATGCGGATTCCCAGGAATCGGAGAGAAGCACAGGGTAGATTTTGGCCCCCAGGGGGCACACTCACACACAGTGAAATAAAAGTTGAAAGGGAATAAATAACGAAAAGCGCATTGATTTATTTTAGCCAGTTTGTTGTTAACATTTTAACGATTTTGTCCTGGCATTTTAGCTCGTTTTCGTTCGTTTCTCACTCCACATCCCCATCTTCTGGCCTTTTTCGGTGTGTCTGTCTCTTAGCCAAATTGCTGAACATTAGTCACCGATTGACAAGGCAAAGTCAGGCCCAGAGAACCAGAATTGAAGTCGGGCCAAGAAGGTCCCCGAACATCTTGCTCACAGCTTAACATTTCTACCTGTATTTTTTTTTGTTCGTGACACAGAGAGAAATAAAATAGTGAGAGGAAGGTTAGAAAAATGTATGTAAAACATTTACAAATAGAACTTTTCTGCCAGTGAACATTCTGCCCTCGATTTACCTTATACAAATCAACTAATTTCAAACTTGTCGATATTTTAATGAAATAAAAAAGGAATGAATAAGAGAAATGTATAGGAAAATGAATGAAAAAAACAGAAGCAGTAGTCAGTTGTAGGAGGTGTGAGCTGGAACAGAACAAAACTCCTGAAGCCAGAGTGAAATATATTTTATTATTTTCCCTTCTCCACTGTCTCGCTCTCATTCCTCAGACATTTGTAACTGTCGAATTGTTCGTTGTCGCCTGGCCAGGTTACCTTGGCACTTTGGCTAATGAAACGCCAGCCCAGGCCAGTCGATGGCGGGTCATAGGCCATATGAATGGCAATCGGGGCTAACCGGAATTACATATCTTTGCATTCAAGAAACAAGGAAAAAAAACAACAAATTTAAGAAAAACAGAAATAAAATTCAAGAAAAACATGTATATTACTATTTTTACAACACATACTTGATATAATTTTAATTGTTATTCAAAAGTATTTAATATTTTTGTTTTTTAAATATTTATTGCGGTAACTTTTGCTTGCTTCATGCTTAACAATGGCAACCCTGTCGCTTGCCCGTTATCTCTGCGTGTGTGAGTGTGTGTGGTGTATGGCATCTGCAATGCGGGTGACAACCCTGCCATAGATTAGGTTCCTTTTGCTCACTTTTTGGCCAGCTTTTTGCTTCCTCAGTCTTTTGTGGCACACTGGCGATGGCACCGCCTTTTGTTCGCTTGACAGGCTACGTTTTGGACCATTCCCCATGCACCCACCACCCTTGGAAAATCCTCATTTTCCGGGCCATTTTGAATACTAGTAGTAGTAGTTGGCCATTGGCAATGTGTGTGTGTGTGTGTGTGTGAGAGAGTGTTGTGTGGAATGAGAGTGTGCGACACTTGGCGATTGCCCGGTGTTTGCATTCAACAATGGCCCAAAACAAGCAGAGTTGTCACCCTCCCTCAAAAAGAGAGGGAGAGAGAGGGAGACACCAACTCTCTCTCTCACTCACTCCATTGGGGGCTAAAAACGTTGGGAAATGTCGGAGGAAAAATTTCAAACACGTTTCAATAAAATTCAATTTGTAGCACATTTCAACGCTTTCCGCTGGCGCTTACCTACCCAAACCCCCAACCCCACCCACCACTCACATATGCATGAATTTCCTTTTGCACTTTGGGTACACAAACCCCCTACCCATCACCCCAACACCCCCTGGGTTTTCCTCCTTTTTTTTCTCTTTTTTTTTTTTGGGACCCATCTCCATTGCGTTCGCAAACCATTTTGGCACTTTGCTTTTGAGCTATGCAAAATGAACGACAACAAGGCGCCGCAGCTCACATGTGTGTGTGTGTGTGTGTGTGTGTGTGTGTGTGTGTGAGGGGTTTTTCCGGGGGAACCCTGCACCCCACATCTCTTGGGGGTTCGTAAATTTCGCGATATTTTCGATTTCGCGTTTACTTTGGCCTCTGCCTCCCATTTCCCTCCGCCTTTTGTGGCACTCAAACCAAGCTCAAGGATATTTTTCAAACATGTTCATACATGTCGCACGCACGCACGCAGCACCCCACAAGAAAAAAAAAAATACAAAATATAAAGGAACCCAAACCCAAACCCAAAAAACTCCAAACCCTATTTCTTGCCATTTCTCCACTCGTGTGGCATCCGTTTCGCTCTGCCTACAAAATGCAAATGCAAACAGCATACGAATTAGTAAAACGGAAACAGGCGTTTGTGTTTTGTAATATTTGCCCCAAAACACAGAGAGGCTCACCTGCCGACAGCCAGCTAAATTTCGTGCTTGGAAATATATATACATATATATATATATATATATCTAAAAAAATATACATATATATTTATATGTGTGTATTTGTTGGTGGAAAAAAAAATGGTAAATAAAAATAGAAACGCATTTTCCTTCACACTTTTCACCTCGACTCACCTCAGTGGCAACACCTCTATCACTCACCACAGGACCTCCACACACACACTAACACATTCAAAGCTCTTTGGCACTCTGTTTACCTTCACTGGCTTCATTTTGATATTTTTGCTTAAATTACCCAACTGGCACGTTTTGTAAACCCCCGCGATGTCGAAAAATATACATCCCTCTTCGACTTGCCATTCTCTTTTTGAACACTGAGAAAAATTTAGAAGAAATGCTAAATTTGTAGGTCAATTTTGATGTATTTTATTTATAATATTTGTATTATGACGAGAAAGTATTTTAAATGATTTATAAATCATAGTTAAAGTATATATTTCACTTAATACTTGTATAAGAGATTTCTGTTCTTTATTTCTCATGTTTTAAGCCTTCCTTAAAAGATGTCCCTAGGTTTAGTGTGCCCGTTTGCTGTTCAACGCAATATACCTTTTATACATACAAAATGCGTTTCCTAATATTTATAGTAAAAGAAAAGCTAAACTACAAGTTATAGCGTTTACTGTCAATATTTTCCTCTATATAAAATTTAAATTCAAAATGTAAGAAATTCTAGAAAAATTTCAAATTAAAAGCAGTCAAATTTTATGACCGTGTAGCCACCGTTCGTTCTCCTTCATCTTCCTTGAGTTTTTCTATTAGATTCGCAGCGATGCGTAAGGTTTAATAAGCATCGCGTGATATTCATTATCCGCAAAGGCACAGGCAAAAAAATAAAGAAAATAAGGCAGCAGGGAAAACGTATTTCACTTTGGCTCGTGTGGATTTTGCAATAATGTGAAATGAATACACAGAAAGCGAGCAAGAGGAATACCCATCCATCAGGACACTGGACACCCCACGAGAAAATAAAGTACAAGCGGGAAAATCAACTTAAATCAATTTAATACAGTTTGGATCAGAGCCTTGGAGGTGGAAAAGTAGAAAAGAACTCTGGGTAACTTCGAGGGTGGCAGCTTGATTCCATCCGTGATGCCGCCACATCCTCGTCCTAGTCTTCCTTTTTTCCTTTTGCACTCCAGTGTGGCTTCCTTTCTGCTAGGCCTAATTCATTACATTTTAATGACTTTCTCATACACATTTCCCCAGAATGGTATGGATATAGGAGCTAGAACTGGCTGGGTGGTGTTTTGCTGCCTCTTGTTGTGTTGACTGCCGTTTGTGCTGAATAGTATGGTGTGGCTGGGAACTTGCATAAATCCCATCTTGATAACATTTAACATTGAAATTCAGGGCTGATAACGGTGCCTCATAATTAGAAATAAGAATTGATACCGCCGCCATGCGAACACTATTGCGATCAAGATCGTGACCAATATGTTGGCTATATAGTCCTTGGCAACGTGCTTGCTTTTTGTTGCAGGTTGTTGGTGTTGTTGAAGTCGTTGAAGTTGTTGAAATTGTTGAAGTCGTTGAAGTTGTTGAAGTTGTTGAAGTTGTTGAAGTCGTTGTTGAATTTGCCATGGGTGTGTTTTGTTCAATCTCTAAGCGGAACATAATTAACGATAGCCACGCCAGTGCAATACCCATAGTCCAACTGGACGCTTGGCGGTATAGTACATTAAAACCAGATGGGACATGCTCACTGCTAAACCAAAAAAGAATGTGAACACAAAATTGGTCGTGCTGAGATCACTGTCCCAGACAGACACCAGAAGTTGCACATAATAAGTAAATATGCGCTTGCACACCACAATGTTCCACATAAGCACAAATGCCAGCAATACCTTTAGATATCGATGCTGCAAAAGGATAGGAAGATATATAGACTTCTTTATGTACAGGTGTGATTCCTACAAACCTTGAAAATGGCTGGCAATAAAATCAGTGCATTCACATATGGGTTCAAGTCCGGAAGAATGTCGTTGGGATTGGGGAAGTTCGGCTCAGGAGAGCCAAAATAAGTACTCAAAATTGGTACCTTTCTCCAGAAACTATTATCAGGATTAGTCCCTAAAAGAAAAGAGAGAGAGAGAGTTACAAGAGGGTCCTCTTGAAGGACATACGACTTACCATCCATTGTCTTCTTGTACTGGCAATCTAAGAATCCAAGTAAGATATTGTAGAAAAACAGATTTAACGGTGGCAACAAAATCATTTTGATACCTTTTTAGAACACAATAAAAACCGAAATTTTTGAACTCGTAATAAACAACTTTTTAAAAATCGAGAAATTTTTCTATTGAATAGAAAACTGTTTTTTTTTTCGTTAGGAATCAAGAAATTTGTTGACGATTTTATGTACTTTTACTAGAGCTAAAAGTAGTGCTTCTCGTAGGAAAGCTAGAGATCGAATGAAAAGTTGTACAGCTGTAGGTCTAACATTGACTTTTTTAGAGACAAATCATACTATGATCAAAATATTTTTCACTTGTTTTGAAACAAGCCTACTATGTGAGTGATTTATTATATTGTAATTTATTGCCAACGAGTTTCCACCTCAAATTAGACTCCAATCCGTCAGACTTTCCCCTGACTTCCTGTCTTGGCCCACAACCGAACAACATGTTGGCCAAGAGGAGGAGCTAGCTAGTGTTGTGTGTGTACAGTGTGTACTGTGTTGTGGCAACATCAGCAACTGTTAATGGCTTCGACAATTTGCATTTTCGGCAATCAAATAATGTTTGCCATCGCCTGCAGTTGGCATCACCACCAAGCATTACAATGCTTAGCAAAAGCACGGGGGCTTTGCAGCAGTCGTAGGAAAATTGGGTGGGAAATGCAGCTGGAAAAGCGGTGACAGGCTAATTACACATGCCAGTCACAAGTCACTGTGGAGTTCGTGGAGTGGTTATTCGGTTATTTGTCGATATTGCATCATAAAATTTTCCAAAAATCCCAAAAAACTTATCAAACGGCAAATTAAGTATACAAGGAAATATTTGTACATGATGTAATATTAAGTTTTAAATGTATTATTTCATTTCTAAACTTTATTTTCTTTGAAAACCATTATTCGGTTTCATGTTTCGCGTGTTGGTCTAAACCTGTAATTATCGTCTTTCAACTTAATTATGGTTCCACCACGATCCGGGCAACTGTTGCACCCTCATCACTCATGAATCATATCAGACATTCAATCCAGATAGCGACAGCTGCTGGGGCGATCCCTTCTTTTTTTCTTGTTTTTGAGGCAGTATCTCAAATCTGGGAAACGAATCGAAATCGAAAACGAAATCGAAAGCCCTCAAAACTGAGACACTAATCCCATTATGGCACTTCAAACGGATGCCAGTCAAGTTGCTTATTGCATCATCACAGCGAATTTAAGGAGTATCATCATCCCTTTGCAAAGTTTCGGTATCGGGGAAGTTTTTGAAATTTGATGATTTTGAAGTAGCTTTGATTTTAAGAGAAGAGATATGGGTTTTAAAATCAAAGCCTAGTCTATTTGGGTTTGATTTTTCGGGTTTAATAATGATTTTTGATCATTTTAAATCATTAGAAATTATAGCTAGTATATAATTCGTTTGGAAAACACTTGAAATCTATTCAGAATTTTCCTTAATTTCAAATATTTCTATATATACTTCCTTAAAAATATATATAAACCCTAGAGTAACACCTTACTCTTATCTTATATCCCAAGAATTATATTATTCTTCTTTAACTTTCCGTTTAATATTTTATTGACCTCACAAAAAGTGTTTAGAATAAGAATTTCTCTTGTTTTAAAATATTTCTATAGTTACTAACTTAAAAATATTTTTAAACCCTAAAAAAACTCCCTTTCTCTCCTCTTATATCCATTGAATTATATTATTCTTCTTCAACTTTCCATTTAATATTTCATTGACCCCACAAAAAGTGTCCCATTTAACTGCAAGATTTTCCAAATTCAAATTTTCCTTCCTGCCCCCTCTCTACTGCTTAGTTTTCCCTTTCGGGCTGATTGCATTCTCATCGATCTCTTGACGCCTTCTTGCCCAAAAGAAAAACTTTGGCCCACACCTCGACATAATGCTTAACCCTATTAGGACACGCCCCCTCTTCTCTGGCTCGATGTCTGTTTTAATTGCTTCGAGGGGTGGCTCTCCCCTCTGGCTAGCAGTTTTCCTTGGATTTTCCAGGCCACTTTTTTTTGGGGTCTTTTCTTTTCTTTGCGTTGTGTTTTTTGTGCAATTTGCATGCGATGTGTCGATGGGAGATGCCAAGAAGTTGCCAAGTGGAAATGTTTGCCAAGCACTTGGAGTGCGGTTTTTCCTTGGGGGGGAGGTGGTCGGGTGAAGGAAATCCATTGACAGTTCAATGGGAAACTCAGAAAAAGTCCGGGGGAAAACTTGGATTTCCTCTCTCGTTTCCTCGCTTCTCTGCTGGCCAGGATAAACATGTTAATTTCGAGAAATGCAAAAATTCTATAATCCGATTTAATGTTTTATTCATTCCGTCTGGCAAGGCGACACACACATACACAGCTGAGCAATTAGAATTTTAAATTTTCTTCTGCCTAGACAATCGACAGATTGAAGTTATATATATACAAAAAAGTACTGTGAGAAAATGTTTTTGTTTCAAAGGGAAATTTGGATTTAAGAATCTAAAAAGAGAGATTATTTATTTGGTAATGAGCTCAAATAATTTATTATACATGCACCAAAAAGGACATAGCTTTAGTCTCTTTGAAAAACAATATAATTATTATTTCTTTGTTGAAATAAATCTCCTAAATTATATATATTTCTTTTCTTCCAGTCTAAATATAATTGTATTTATGCAAAAAAATAGAAGAAGGAAAAACAGTGTCCTGTTCTGGATGTGTCCTACTGTCAATATATTTTTATCGACATCGACGCACATTAACCTACTTTGGAGCCATTTTCCACAGCTTCTTTTCTCTGTCTCTCTCTCTCTCTCTCTCTCTGTCTCTCTCGTTATTTTTCCTCTATTTTTGTACAAGTCCCTCCTTCTCATCCTTGTTAGATATTCAAATTTGTCCGCTGACATGGGTGTGGCGAAACCGAAGGGGGGTCAGCATCTGATTATGCGTTGACACCAATTTGATTTCTGGCTAGAGATTGCTTCAAACTGGGGTTTCTTTTCTGTTTTTTTTTTTTTTTTTTTGAGGGGATAAGGAAAAATAGGTATCTTGAAAGACATGTCAAAGCATTTCACAAGAAAATAAATTACAAGTTGAAGATGTTCACTGAAATATCTACTAATATCAAGATTACAAGAAAATAATCCAGAGAAATTGCAAAATATAAAAGGGTTTTGTTAATTATTTGTGAAATTCAAATTCAAAATGGAAATTCCCCAAAGAAGGAGTGTCATGGAAATCTATTTTAAGACTCCTGGTCAAATATTATTTTCTATCCCAGTATCCTGTATCCTGGATCTGTTTCCTCCCAAAAACTCTACAGCTTCTCATCATTATGCGTAGGAAACTGGTTTCCTTGGATATACATGTATATATATGGGTTCTTCGTTGGTTTTATTTACTTTTAATTTACTTTTAATTATAAATTCATGCTTTCCTTGGCTGGGATTAAGCTTTAAATGCAAAACGGTAAACAGAAGAGGACTCGCCTTCTCTGGCCTTTCCCGCATTTCTCGAAGGACTTTTCGCCTTGCCATCTCTCTGAGAGAAATGAAATGAAAAAAAAAGAAGAACTCGAGTTGGTAATGGAAGGGGGATGGAGGAAATTGTTTGGGGATGCGTCATAAAATTTGTATTTGGGCCATATGATTTATGCCCCTCCAGTTGGCCTGAATCCCGGATCCGGATATTTATACAGGCTCATCATTCGCTTCAGTGGGCGGCCACGGCCGCCTCTCAGATCCTCTCGGAATTAATTTCAAGTTTCGCTTTCAGTTCGCTCTGTTGTTTATGGCTTTTGTTTATTTATAGCGTTTTCCTTTCGCCGAAGCCCCTCGCCTTTTGCCATTGCTTTCGCCTTTGCCCAACTAATTTAGATGATGGCGGACCCCATCTTTTCTTGGGGCTTCGAACCATCTGGCCTAAATATTAGTTTGTTAAAAGTCGTTTTCTTTTTTATTTTTTTGCTCAGTGGGAAGTAGAATAAGTTGGGGTTTCCGAAAAACTCATTTAAAGTTGTATTCAGCTGAAAGTAATTGATAATAAAAGCCTAAGTAAGACCTTTGTCCGCTCAAGAGAATTTAGGTACACATCTCGGCTAAACTTTTGGGATATCTAGTTGAAATTTGGTATACAATTAGATTTTGTAAACACTTTTAAGTACAAATTATGAAAATGTATTTAAAATTTTAAAAAATATGGAAACTGACACAATTTAAGGAAAAATCTTGTCCGTTTTGTCCGTTGAACAGAATTTGTATTAAAAAGTAAACCAATCTTTAAAGTATGAAACTGAAACTATGCACACAATAAGTTAATGTGTTATTATATTTAAATATAGTAAAATATCTTAATCTTTAATGCTTAAAATTAAAGAAAAAAATATTTTTTAAGTTGCAAATTTACTTTTAGCTTATTTGTGTAAATTTCCCTTCCGTTTTGGTACTTTAAATTCCTTTTTGCCGCGTGTTTTTCTTAAATTTGACTTACATCAACAAGCTTTTCCGCAGTTTTTCCTTGGTTTTTCTTCTTGTTGTTTTTGCTTTTATTTTTTGCGGTTCCTTCATCGGCTCCATTGCTTCTTTTTCTCTGTTTTTGTTGTTGTTTCAGTGCCTTTTGGTTTTCCATCTATCATCATCCCCATTTATACGCGCAAATATTTGCGCTTTACTGCGGATTTTTATTCCTTTTTGGGCTCTCTTCTTCTTCATCTTTGTTTTGCCATTTTCCTCCGTCCATTTTCCGTCGCCGTCTCCCTTTTGCTTTTCTCTTCGTTGCCCTTTGTATGGATTTTCATTCAATGCGAAAATGCCGCGCAACGCAACGAGCCGAAATGAAAATGTTTAAATGAAAGATTGATTGGATTTTGATGAATTTCAGCTACACACACACATCACACACGTACACACACTTGCTTTTTATATATTTCCCCAGAGTTCGTTTTGTTGTTGCTGAAAAAAAGAAAGATATATATGTACATACATATATGTATAAAAAGGCCAACCAAATTGCACACACAAAAATTACATTCAGATTAAAGTAAAGTAAATCAATCTCATGCCAACGAGCCGCAACACAAAATAAAAGAAGAAAATTGGGTTGCGATTGAAAATAGGAAATAACAAATATATATATATATATAGAAATATATATCAATATTTAAAGTCAATTTGGGTTTTTTTTTTTTTGTTGGCACATATGCAAAAAGCGTAAACTCGACAATGAATCTGTCGCTTTTTGTTGGAAACTCCTTC